TATCTATCTATCTATCTATCTATCTATCTATCTATCTATCTATCTATCTATCTATCTATCTATCTATCTATCTATCTATCTATCTATCTATCTATCTATCTATCTATCTATCTATCTATCTATCTATCTATCTATCTATCTATCTATCTATCTATCTATCTATCTATCTATCTATCTATCTATCTATCTATCTATCTATCTATCTATCTATCTATCTATCTATCTATCTATCTATCTCTCTATCTCTCTCTCTCTCTCTCTCTCTCTCTCTCTCTATCTATCTATCTATCTATCTATCTATCTATCTATCTATCTATCTATCTATCTATCTATCTATCTATCTATCTATCTATCTATCTATCTATCTATCTATCTATCTATCTATCTATATATATATATATATATATATATATATATATATATATATATATATATATAAACGAGATGAGTGAAGTATCAAACAATAAGTAGAAAAGAAATTTTGCCAGGGGAAAAAATGTTGTCATTATAAATGTTGCATGTATATGTGGTTGAAGACATGTATGCATATCTGTTTGAATGGATTCACTGTGCACGCGGGGGATCACTCCACTGGATGGCCGGAAGGAAGCCGGCCAGTCTACCTGAGAACAGTACCTGGTACCTTGCTTCATCTCTTTCAAACATTTGAGTTGCCGCATTGACGACTCTAGATTCTGACTTGTTTACAGTTGTATTTGATGTACTCTCTCCTCCGCTACTATAAGCTCTCGTCTCTTTACGTACCTGCGTTTCAAACGAGTGATTTCATAAAAAAATATGATGACTCACATGTAAGTCTAGAATATTTGATGGCACACAAGCGAACGGTTTCATAACTCAATCGCAATAATATTTTATGTTACTGCATTCAATGCATCCTTATCTGTACCACAGCTCTAACTCAAAGTGACTATCGCACTGCTTACATTTGCTTTAGACCAGCATCTCTCTTCAGCATGTAACATGACGTAACAGCATAGCAGAACAAGGTGAACTACATTCAAGGACACACAGGTGGGCAGAGGAAGATCATACTGTTCATTGATAAGTGGCAGTGGTAGCAACGCTGCCTCATATTAATTCAACACCCTTCACTATTTACATCGGGGAAGAATAAACATGTAGCAGAAGTTCTTTCATCAGCAACTACTAGCGTGCACTACTTAAAGAAAAATGGAATGAGCATTTCAGGGTTCATTTTGCAGGGTTCATTATCAGTAATTGTGAGGACAACCAGACAAACACGTGTCAGGGGTCATTGTTGTGTAGCTCTAATTTAATCTCTGAAAACAATCATATTCTCAGCGGTAATAAACGGTGTTCTTAATCCCAACAATTAGTAGACCCGGAGCCTATCCTTCGTAATCCTCTGCAGCGCCTCTAAAGCTCTTCTCATCTTCTCCACCACATTTTTCATTTCTCTTTTCTGGTCACCCACAATTATCACTGGTGTTCATTTCACTACCATCTATCTGGCGCAAGTATAATTTCGTATATCTATATTTCTATCTGATCCTCCATCTTAAAGTGAGATTCCACCGAGGGAAAGAATGTAATTATCCCAAAAGTATAACTATAAATAACTTACTCCATCGCTTTCTATGTGTATGTGAGTGCGCGCGCACGCAAGCGAGTTTTGTGCATACCCACTGTAGTTACAATTTACAAAATATGTCAGATATTTTAGCTGCCCACCTCCTAATATTCTACACTCAAACACATAAATTATTATGTTCCCCTGAATTGAAATATCTAATCAACGTCACGTGCGGGTTTAATCACTGTGGGTATTGCCTATTTTATATCAGTGTGGTTAGATTAACTATTACAATGGCATATTGTTAACAACTGTGAGTGGTTTAGGGAATGACAAACATTGTTTAGTCCACCACAAATTTATATATGGAATGAAGGTAGATGTGTGGAATCTTCTGTTTTCTGGGCCGGCAGGCAAGCGTGCTGGCCACTCCGTTATTGAGACCCTTAATGTGTTATAGCACTGTGGTATTGGCTGCATGAATGTAAGATTAACAGTTGTTTTCTGAGAGTAGTAAATCATAGTTATTAAAGCTACATTATTTTATATCCAATATCCTTATCTGGGATTCAGAAATCACATGCTTAACGATGTATGGGTACACAATGCCCATTATTAGTGGGCCTCAGCTTGACTAATGGAAATAATGAAGAATGGCAATATTAGATAAACAAATTGTGCCTAACTGTAAAGCTCTACTTAATAACATTATTGTAGGACAAGTACATCATTTTAAATATCTAGGCCTTTGAGTTACTATCACGTGGAAACTGTTTAACATCGATTTAAAAAAAAAATTACAACGGGGAGAGGGGCAACATTTGCATTTTTTTTTAATCAATAATATTTACTGAATCTATTCACTAGGTGTTAGAAAAAAAAGTTCCTAAATCTTGGACTAGAGGTCCCCACGTCATAGCCCCACCACCACCCTCCCCAAACCCCCAACGGCACCACCATGTTTGAAGCCTCGGATATGTGGTTTTACAGAAAACTGCTTACTTTTATAGAACAGTCAAAAATTGAAAATCTTTTTATTTTCAAAAGGGCTAAAACAGTAAAATTAAAAACATCAGAAAGATGTAGTCATAATTGTTGACCACATTACTAGAAAAATAAAACCTGCTACATGTTTGACTCTTGGAAACATTTCTGAATGTACACTTCTAACTCGAGAAGCCCATTAGTAGCTTCTTGTGACGATATTGACAGTTGTCAACACACGAACTGATACAAGCTGTTAGACATCAAAAGATGTATAAAAGCATAATAGCTCAAGCCGCAAGGATAAGACGCTTGGAGATGATAGTGATAATGTAGAGAAAGACTAGTTCAGTTGCTCTAGACCTTCCTAAGGATTTGGCTAAAGCAAGTGCTTTATCTGTTTTCTAGGGTATTAAACGATATGTTTAGAGTAGCTGGTTAAACCATGACCTTATTTGTATTCTGGGATTAGTAAAGGAAATGGGTACAGTATTTGGTTAAATCATACTGATGTTTGTTTACTAGAATAGGTATATCATCTGAACATATTATACGAATAATATATGTTCCTGTTCACACGACTGTTATGCGAAACGTCGTCTGCTCTGGGTATGGCAATGCAATACAAATAGTTTGTAGTGCCAATTTAACTGGACTACAAGTTTATTTACTGTTTCTTGTTTTTCAAATGTTACTGTGTTATACGGCTATACGGTTGAATGGGGTTTCTGTGATTTGCAAACGCAAAACTGGAAAGTACCTAATATTTTTAAAGAGGGTGGGGTGGGGTGGAGGAAAGGGGGAGGGTAAGCGTCACAATACATAGGAAACATGCAGTTCCCAGACAGACCAACACACAAACATGAGAGAGATGCAGGTTGTTGCCCTTACAAGCGGCAACTACGATAAATAAAATTATTCAGCGCCATCGTGTTCATCTATGTGATTGTTTCCCTTTAGAATCAGACAAATTATATTTACGGAACAAGCTGCTAAATGTAGTTCTTAAAAAACGTATAACTTTTATCTTTCAAACTTAATACAATTTTATCCCGATTCATGCGTGTTATACTCCACAGATAAATTACTAAATGCAACAATAACGACCTTGATATGTAATATTTCACTGAATCATGCATTAAAATAAGAGAAAGAATTATCCAAGCTAGTTTTACATAACTGTAAAGAATGAAATGTAATCACTAGTACACATTTGCAGTAGCATGCGCTTTGAAGAAAAGAAAAATAGATACATTCTTTACTACAGCAAATACAGATATGCATGGCATTTATGATAACACTTATTCACGGGCGCTTAGACGTGAATCAAGCACTAATATCTTCTTATAAGACAAATCTCACTTGTATGGTTGCAAGGTAAAAACAAAATACCATAACTGCGCTCCAATCTGGGACGCCATTTTTTTTAAGCCAACCTTCGCTGTAGTTAGTGGCCCTAATATAACGTAAAGGTTGAACGGGGTTTCTGGGACTTTTGCACGAGGATTCCCATCCGAATGGTGGCGCCTTATGTCACCAGGTGTTTATCCCGCGTTGTGAGGTCCTGATGGGGTTAAACGTCCCCCCCCCCCCCATTCCATAAACAATGTACCTCAAAGAATACATCGTGCTTTGTTCATCAAGCATCCAGTACGCAACTTGCGTCAATAAATGATCTTCACTCAGTAAATGTACATTGTATTCCTAATAGATATTTGTATAATTTCTAACACACATAAATAAGTCCTCGTTAGGCCTGTCCTGTGGCATCCATTTATCACTGAAAGGTTTTTAAAAATCAGCAGTAGTAAAAGCTTTATACTGTAAGTACTGTACTAACACTTCCTATCTAGATCACACAGTAACGCTGAACAAACGTGTTGCATAAAGCTTGATAAGCAGTTAGGAAATGATGTTATGGCTCGGCTAAAGCAGCGATAGAAAGCAAAGATCTTTTTAAGTTCTGAATTAGTTTAACTTCACTTCCACGCATGACAAAAATGAAATAGATTTTAAGTGCAATAGTGAAAATATGCCAGATATGGAATTGTGGATCTATATAAAAACTAAAGTTGAATGCAAAGAAATAAATAAGTAGTTATTACTCCATAGACTGGGGAATAAAGTGTATAGCAATACTGCAGTTTGCATCCAGTAAATTTACAGGGAATTTTTAACGTATACAATGATCATGACATTAGAACATATGTATAATACTGTGTGAACTCTGAAAAGGTTAACTAGTGTTCCTTCGTTTATTCAAGTTGCCATTATATCTTCATTTATTGGTATTTGACAGTCAAAATCATAGAGGTTATATAGTAACGAAAATGTGATATTCCTTTTGTATCGTTGCGGTTGACAACAAGACCATTTAGAAAATAAGCAAGTAACACCTAAGCGCACAAAAGTTTACGAAGGCCCAGTTAAAATATGCAGTTATGAGAAATCAACTTACCTCCAGTCTGTTTTGTGTTGTTGGAGAGGAACCACGGTAGACATTGTATGTTCTGGATACCTTGCTGCTTCTGACCACTATGTCTGAGTCGTAGTCCATTTTGGCAGTAGATCGAGATAGAAGTACTGGTCGCTGCTGCTAAGGTTCAAAACAGCTCGCACACAATAATCAATGACCGTTTAGGACACTATGAAACCAAGGTAAATGCTTGGGGTGATAGGACAATTCGAAAATGAGTGGACAAACTGTTTTGTTTACAGCACTTGTATGCAGGCTTGCGAGATCTCTTCTACTCTTTCCTTTGCAAATGGCCACACGATTGTGAGAGCGGCTGCAGGCGGCACGCAGGTAAGATTGCCAGAGTCGGCTACATAACAAATTCCTTAAATACCCATGTCTACTAAATATATAACTACACATTCTCATTTCTTGCCACGCGCACGCGCAGAACGTGAGGTGCGACTGAGAACGTGTACATGAGCGTGAGTCAAACAAGGCAACTTGTCTACGGATTTCGTTTACCTGGCTGTTAAAACAAAACAAAACACAACACACAAAAAGAGGAGGGGTGGTGAGAGGGCTCAAGGTCAGGAAAACTGATGATTATGTTATTCACTGTTCTGGGTATGTCAGCATTTTCCGGTGAACCTTGCTGAACAGATCACATTGGCAGCAATCAGTGTTTCTGTTATTTTATAGGGCCCCCTTCTACCCTTATATATAATAATGCAATACATGCAAGAGAGTTGCTACATTTCGTTGCCCGTCATTAAACCTTTCTTTGTCTTGTTTTGCGAAGGTCTGCTCTCATATCTTTTTTTTTTCCAAGCTGCCAGACATAAAAAATGTGGGATTGCCTGATAATCTCGCCCGCGAGTTAACGGAATCAGGCACGTGCGCCCGTGCACCAGTCAGAGCTGAGATATGAATAGAAGGGAGAACAGAGATAAGGGCTGCTCCATATAAGGCGGCCGCCTCGGGCCTGGTATTTTCTGAAGAGGAGGAAGGAGGTAGAGCTAAATTGTGGGTGGAAAGAGTGACTAATAACTAAACAAAGCTGCTCTCTAGACTGAACATTTGAAGGTAAGTGCAGGAAAAGCTGGAAAACAACAAGAAGAAGAGAAAATGCATTAAACACAACAACAGAACCCTACAGTGTATTTTCTCCTACACTAACACACTGTTTGCAGGCAGTTATTAATGTTTCTTGTGATAACCTTTATCTCTTCTTTTTTTATAGTCTATGTCGTTCGACATTAGTCATAATAAAAAACACTTTTTTAAAAATCCTGCTATGACATTAGATAGTGAGGACTCAAACGAAAAAGACTCCAGTCTCCGTCTCCTGTTCTGCTAATAATTTTAAACTCTGATGTCGCTTCAAGCCACAATGCTAAAACTCACAGCGTCTCTCTTGGTCTCCCCAGCCTCTCTTTCCCTCCAACTTTCTTGGTGTCAGAAAACTCCAGTTTGCAACTTTTTCACGACGTTCCCAATGCATAAGGATTATCTTCTCATTTAGCAATGAGTTCTCTTAATGATTTTCTTGTCTTCTAATGTCTATTTATTGTCCTGTTTATCCTTACATAATGCTACCGACATTCTTCTATCCAAACTACATCATGGTAGCTTTTGAATAATTTCTTACTATTGTGTCGAATGTCCACAATTCACTTTAAAACATCCAGAGTGCCTCTCATCATCGTCTTCGTCATGTGCCTTGCCGACTGGCGTGGGCGATCATGCCTCTCCACAATATGCGATCTCTTGCAGCATGTATTAGTTCGTGTGCTGACACACCTCCATGCCATGCAACAAGACTGTCAAGAATCTTCTCTCGTTGTCTTTATCTATACCTCCTTTCACACATATTTCCAGTGGTCACAACATATTCAATTTTTCCTCTTCTCATAACATGGCCGAAAAATGATGTCTCCTTCTGATATCTGTGATTAGTTGTCTTCGGACTCCCGCCTCTTTCAAAACTTCTTAGTTGATCTTTTTGGCTGTCCAAGGTAATTTATGCCTCTAAAAAGCGCATATTAAATCTCTATTTACAAAAATGCATTGCTTTGGAAATTCTTGATACTATAAATTGTTGCTTTTGCGAAGGTTATTTCACTTTTAACTGTTGCAATATAATTCTTATCTGCTGTTGTCAAGCTACTCAAATACTTTAAAGTATCGACTTGTTTAAGATTAAATCGGATTACTTTGATGATTTATTCTGAAGGCTTTTTTTTTTATTTTTTTATTTGCAACTACAAAAACCTCTTGTCTTCCAATTTTCCTGACAACTTTTTTTTTTTACATTTTTTATTGTGACTGGTCTATTGTAACAGTATGCATCACTTCTTCTTGTAACTGCAGTGTATCTACAGCTACAAAAATCGGGAATTTAATTTCTTCATGTGTGTTGTAGAGCTCCGTCAACTGTTGGTCATGTTTCATATTCTTCCCCTTTATCTTGTTCACTCTTTCTTTCACTTTAAAAAAAAAACAAGTTTATGTAAGCCTACTAATGTATATAGCTATCAAATACAGAGGTACTGAGGAAATTGGGAATGAAAAGAGAGTTGCTAGATGAAATAAAAAAGAGACAAGTGAAATATTTTGTTCACATTTAAAGACATAACAGTATTGTAAAGATCATCCTAGAGGGAAAGGTTCAAGGTAGGCGAGCAAGAGGCAGACAGCGTTACAAGTGGAAGGATAACATCAAGAAATGGACGAACAGCAGAACGAGCGAGTGTACATCAAGGGCAAGAGACAGGGCTTGTTGGAGATCCATGGCACCCAACCTTCATTGTGGAGACGGCACCTGATTGATTGACTAATGTATGATAATTCCTGTTTTTTTTTTTTTAACTTTTTTTTCGTAGCTCTAAAAGACTCTTGTAGCTAATATTTGTTCAGGATTCTTTTGTTTTTATATACTGTTTACATACATACACACTCACACACACACACACATACACACACAGAGAGCGAGAGAGAGAGAGAGAGAGAGAGAGAGAGAGAGAAATATACACAGGTTATGCAGAATTGCACAGTGGCGTGTTTTTATTAGCTTGTAAGTAGTTAGTGTGTCAGTATAAACAGGAGGCTCAGATGTTGCTTACAGTGTCAGACTGACATGTTAGCGTGAATTGTGTTGGTTTTTGTCATGTGGATTAGCACTTGAGACAACAGATCATGTCCTTCAAGACTCTCAAATACAACAAATCTAGGCAAAACCTTTGGCCAAGAGAAATACCGGTGCACGCCAAACTTTACTGATCGCTAAGTGACACAGGAAACAGTAAAGTTCATACTAGAAACAACATTGCAGATATGGATAATCAATTTCAAGCAAACAAAAGAAGAAGAAGAATTGTGTTAAAGTCATATTTCTGGACATAACTCGTGATGTGAATTCGAGAAAGCAACACAATATAAGGTAAATACTGACTACCGAACTGAAATCCTGTAAACGGATAGCGTTACATCAAACAATTCAGTTCGTTTTCAAGCAGATATGTATCTCTTCTATATTGTAACACCGCTACTGACCGACTTGGGTGCAATTTTGTGGGGTATTATCAATTACAAGGGAAGGAGTCTATAGCACATTGTAATGTGTTTAATCGTCCATTTTTAATGCCGAAAGTGTCTGTCCTTCAACATGACAATGTCAGACCTCATTCTGCACTGCCAACCTTGTCTGCAGACATGAGTTCGATTGAACACTTGTGGGATCAGCTGTTAAGGGATGTTTGTTGCCGAGACGTTGCTCCAGCCAATCGGTGTGATCTGCTCCAAGGACTCCGAGAAGAGATGGCAACCATCCCACACACCCTCACCAGACGCCTGATCGCATCTATGCCCAAGAGGTGCCAGTCGTCACTGATCGATAATAGAGGAGGTCACACACCGTACTGGCAAGGTACCCCACGCCTAAAAACTATTGATGACGGAGATGCAAAAGCATTGTCAATTGGTTGGTTGAATCCTAAAATGTTCTTCTGTGCAATCTGAATAATTTGACTGGTTAAGTTACATGTTGAATGTCAAAATTATGACTATGTATGTTTTTTTTAAGTAGCTATCGCTTTTCTTTTCATTTTTTTTTTTTAAATGTTAGTAAAATTTGTCTAGATAATCTTTTATATTCATGTTAATTATTTTATTTATTTCTAAAAATTTTGAATTCTCTACGTCGTTCACTTAATTCCTGTTGTTTCTGTTTCTGCTTTTACCCTGTAGAAAGCTACTATATCTACAATATTTCTTTGTGAGACAGTTCTTACAGAGCAGAGGTTTCCAAATGATGCTCTCTTGTGCAGAGATTATGTTTTTTGAGTTGCACAGCGATGCATGGCCTCGACGTAGTACATCATCATTATCATGAGCAGGTCCTTTGCAGAACGTCGCTCTCATCACAGTCTGCCTGAAAGAAACTCGGTCTCTCGCCAGTTCTCCCGCCTCATACACTTTCACACTCAAGGAGTCATATCCTGTGCCCATCTTCGTGTCGGTCGGCCCCTGCCTCAACTTCTTGGTACCATGCCTTCTACTATAACTTTTTTCAATCAGTCGTGGCGCTTGATATGAACAAAATAATTCAGCTTTATTAGCCAAACTTCCTTGATGTTCAGATCTTTAAAGATGTCAATATTTCTCATCTTCTTTAACCAAGACATTCTGAGAATCTTTCTATAGCATTTCAGCTCAAAAGCTCCTTTTCTCTTTCTTAAGGACTGAGAGAAAGTCCACGTAGTACACGTTAGTAATATTTTGGCGTTGTGTCACTGCGTTCTTGACATTCACACACAGCGATGAGCATGACGCGGCTGTGTGTCTGCTTGGGGTGACTACAGCTTTTTGTTTAAATTCGTACTCTTGAACCCACTATACATCACAAGAATTTGAAAGCTGGTGTCGTTTGAGCACTGCAGTATCTACTGTGTGACTTCCAGGCCACGTAGTTTTTATCTCCATCGCTGAAGCTTCAGCAAGACGTTAGCTGACACCTATTTTAATGACAAAATCCTCCATGACAGTGAAGAGTAAAGAACCAAAGCTCACCCCAACCAGGTGTACACTTGATCAGTGACCTT